TATATATATATATATTTATTGCAGTCTATTGGTGATGGATACAATTGGAAGAAACTTAATAAAACAGAAATGAAGCAAAGATGAAAAGAACAAACGAAAATAAGCTAAACAAATTAAAGCCATAGTGTACAACGATGAATATATATATATATATAACGTTGCTGCAAGGCTCTTTGCATGGTTCATTGAAGGTTAATTGCGGGGATGGGTGTTATCTGGGTTGGACGTTCCAGTGGCAACCTTTGCAACATCCATGGCTGATGCTTCGGGCTTCTTATTGGAGTACAATACCAAGTAACCTAACACAGTGATGGCTGCAAACCCTCCAATCGCCATTCTCATCGGACTCATTGGCATTTTCTTACGTTGGTGAAGTACATCTGTCGAATGTTGCTGAGTAGTAGAAGAAGAAGAACCCTCTTTCATTGCTTCAGCTTTTGCCATCTTTGCTCCAACCAGTTAATTATGACTTTCACTATTGCCAAATCTATGCAAGTATGTTACAATTATATATGTAGTCTAGTTTGGTAGGTTATGGTGTAAATGAAAAGAAAGAGGAGAATGTGGTAAGAAGGATTAGAAGGCGAAAAACAATGTGTTGTTTGCAAGTGGAGTCTTTGCCATTTGACACGTTCTCTGCTTGACCTTCAAAATTGATTAGTTTCAGACTCTGCTAACTGCCAAGGTCAAGGACATGATATCCACAATTTCATTATTGTCACACCTTAATTTTCTGACAAGGTGAGCTAGGAACATTCAAGCACGGCAACTTTTAAGTCAAATTAAAAACTTTATATGTTGTTAAACAATATTAGTTTTCTCATTATTTATATCAAAACAAAACCCTAAATTTCACATTAACTAAAGTCTAAAGATATATATAGCCATATAATGTGTATAAACGAGGCACAATTATAATCTTTCAAAACATTAAATTATTTATCTAATAAGAAAATTTAATTGGAAAAGACAACTCACCTTTAATTGTCTCAAATCTCTCGCGAGCAGATTAGTTTTGATAAATAACCGGAAATATTGTTTACAATTACGTGTGTTGCCAAAAATAAATGAAAGTATTAATAAAAAAGCTTTTTTTAATAGTATTTAGTATTTGATCTAGTTTAATGACAACAATACTATTAATTGTCGTGTTTTTTCCATTGTAATTAAAAAGTCCCCGTGCAATATATAGATAGCAGAACTCCAAAAATTGTAAACCGGCCAAGAGGATTAATACTGGATTGGATCCTTCTAAAACATAATGCATTTAGCAGGGTAAATCATGTACGTAAGTGGAAATTATTATTTTAATATATAATGCGAAATGGTAAAATACAGAAATAATTAAGAAGAGGAGAACTTATTTGGCAACAATGACTTTGGAACAGGCAATGCACATGCATTTATATCCAAATGACTTATTCAATCTCAAAATTACCAAGACCGGGCATTGGAATTAAAGGGTGCAATCGTACGTTCTCACTTGAAACAACCTTTTTTCCCATCAAAGGAAAACCTTTCAAACTTAAAAACAAAAATGATAACCAAAATGCTTGACCTAGCTAGTTAACCTCATATGTTGCATATAATCATGTACAAAGAACATGTTTAGATATAAATTTAAAATTATATTTTAAAATTTCTCTATATAAAAATATTCTTTATTTTTAATAGAGAAATTTTTAAAAGATATTTTTAACTTATATCTAATCAAGCTCAAAGACATTAATACGCAAATACACAATACTCTCAAGATACTAATACCACCACTCCCATCAACATCATAACTCCCATGAATCCACCACCTGATTTACAAGTAACACCTTGATTATTTGGAAGCGGTGAAGGTGAAGGTGAAGGTGACGGTGATGGGGAAAGCAAAAGTGGTAATGGTGATGGTGATGGAGATGGAGAATGAAACTTCTTTTTGGTTTTGTTGTTAGACACGATATGCACAACCAGCTTTAACCCCATCTGGCAATGACTTTTATTTCCACTTATGAAGTGTTTGAATCCAGATTTGTTAAGTACGACCTTGGTGCTGCCATCGTTGAATACCACGTGTCCTTGCCCCACCGTGTTGCACCTTTCGTAGTCCGTGTTATTCACTACATGCACTGATTCTGTTCTCTCGTCGTAGTTAAAAACTGTATCCGCATACAACAACAAAAATTGAAGAGACAGAAAACACAAACAATGCAACCAAGAAATAAAAGCTCATACGCTTAACAGGTTAGAATCTAAAATCCATGGTACGTCAAGATCACGTACGTGGTACATATAATTAATTTAGTGTATAAATATAGTTGAGACTTGAGAGTATTGGCATTTCTGTATATGTATATAGGACATAAGGAAAAGAAAGGAACGAAATGGAGTTATTACTGAGAGTATCGCCGATTTTGAATTGGTGAGTGTTGGCCCAGTGATTGAGTGAATGTGAATCTGAGGATGAGAGAGGAACCTTCCAGGAATTATCACTGCCTCCAACCACATATTCTTTGGCTTCATAGCAGCATATTAAGAGCCACATTGAGATTAGCATCACCAAAAATGGAGATGCATTGTTTGCTAAACATAAAGCCATTTTGATTAAATAACAGCGGCAGCAGTAGTAATAGAAATATATAGAAGGTGAAAATAATGTGAAATATGCAAAGCAATAGAGTGGGTTTTGGGTTTCCAGTTAATAAATAGGGTATGTTGTGAATGACAGCCACTTGGCAATTGGCAGCAGCATAACATTTTCGCAAAGTGGCGAGCCAATGTGCACCATTTTTAAGGGAAAAGCACCTTTTCGATACCTTTAAGGATGAAACTAAGCACATAAATTTGATTAAAAGATATAAATGACTATTAATTAATCTAATTGAATTCCCAAAGTCAAATGAGCTTATTTTTAACTTTGTACGATCTTATATGAAAATTTTGTCGGAAAAGCCAAAAAGGATATTTGATAAATAAAAAAAAATCAATTGATGAAAATATATAATTTATGGTCTTTTATAAATTTAATTTTTTGGTTATTATATTATTGATGCAAAGTATCTATTGGATCTATCGATAATTAATTTTCGTCAGAGGTTTTTTTTTAATCACTTTTATTTTATCACAATACTCAAATTCGAGATTTTATTTAAAGGAATCAAACTCAGAACTACTCAATCTATCAACTTATTGATTCATTTTATCTTATTTTACTAAGCTTTACTAAAAAAAATATTAGTTATCTTATTATTGTATTCAAAGTTATAAAGATCTCATTTGATTGAGATATGGTAAACAAGTTTGAACTTAGAATCTGGTACACATAACTAGTGTAAAAAGAGGATTTCATAATGTACTTTCTATGTCAAGTCTTATATATCTACATAACATCAAAAGTGATGTGATGACATACTTGTAAATATGTCAAAATATTCTATGATAGATGTTGACTTATTTAGTTTGTGCTCCAATGTTTCATCTTCTTCTCCATGGATAATGTGAGAAACAATTTTCGACGACTCCTTTGTGCACGCTAGTAACTCTTTTGACGGTCACCACAATGAAAATGTTCGAACGACCACTTTTCCCTCTTTTCTCCTTCAAAGCTTTCTTCCATGATTTTTAGGGTTTGTGGTGGATAATATGCGCAATATTTTGAATGTGGGCTTGCTCATTATCCATTTGGTCATTTTGGGTTTGCTCATTGATTATCTGTTTGCTCATTTTGAGTTTGCTCAGTGTGTGTGGTTCCGTTGGGCATGCATAATGATATAGATGGTAATAACATTAGTCAATTTTGATAGTTGACAAAATTATAAATAATTTTAAGTTTGTTGAAACGTAAAAATTTAAAAAAAAAAGTACTACATTAGGCAATTTATATGAAATACTTTTAAATTAATTGAGATATAAATTTAGAATTAAAAAATATGTTAGGTACTTATATATACAATATTACATATTAATTTAAATATCTTTTAGGTACCCATAATATTAGATCTTTATTATTATAATTAGTAAATTTATGTTAATATAATCAAATACAAATTGTTAGTTATGGAGTTTGAAAAGATATACAATGTTATACAATTAATGTATAAGCACTGTATTAAATTTTGAATTCTCCATTTGTATAGTTTGAAAAGATATATAGTTTTATAGTTTTTTTTATATATATATATATATATATATATATATAGAGAGAGAGAGAGAGAGAGAGAGAGATGTTAAGTCTCGTTTTAAATTTGATAAGAATTTGGTTAATTGCATTTCTTATTGTTGTTTGGGTGCATACTTGTTTGTAATGAATCTAATGTCACCATTTTCATTTTGTGTAATTAGAGACTAACGCGAAATGCTACCGATTTTTTCAAATTTAATGTATGAGATTTTACCTTTATGTATTAATTAATCAAGTATAAAAAAAAAAATCATCTTTCTGAATGAGTAGGGTTACACCTTGTATTTAAAAATGAGATTAACATGGTTTATGTCAGATGAATGTATTGATGGATTGAAACTGGATGAGTTGTTTATGCACAAGTGTTGAATATGAGAGTGAAGTGGAAGAGTTTTTTTAATTTGCATAAAGGAATGTTACAAACAATTATGAAAGGTTGTACTATCCTTGTGTGAATGATTTCAATTTGCAAATGCAGTTAATAAATATTATACAAAATCTTGTTTTGTTTGATGAATTTCTCAAAAACTACACAATATGGGACATGACATGGTGAATTGTTAGATATGATGCATGTACAGGTGCGTCAAACACAAAAAGAATAAGTCGGTTTAGAGATATAGACGATTGGTTGAGGACATGATTCATGGCTTAATTCTTTCAAATGTGCACATGTGTATGATAATTTGTGCAGTGATACAGAGAAACCTTTGCATCTAGACTGCTCAAATTTTACATGGGTATCCATGATGTTAAGATTGTTTAGTCTTAAGGAAAAAAATGGATGGACTAATAAAAACCTCACAAGATTGCTAGAGTTGTTAAGTGAAATGTTTCCCAAAAGTAACACTTTTCTGACACATAATTATGATGCAAATAAGATTTGTGTCCGATGGATATGGGCTATAAAAAATTTCATGCATGTTCCAATGATTGCGTTTTGTACATAAAAGAGTTTGATAACTTACATGAGTGTCCATAGTATGGGGTATCATAACCAACTTGAAGGAAGATGACTTTAAAAATGGGGTGAGCAAGGGTCTTCCTACGAAGGTATTGTGGTATTTTCCTATTGGTTCAATATTGGAACAATTATTCCAAGATTAGGAACAAAGACATTAAGCTAAAGTAATATTTGATTGACCAATTTAGACTAGGAAAAAAAGAGGTGTACTTAGCACCTTATTTGAATGGATAATACTTGTATTATATTTTATTTTAAGTTTATAGTAACTTAATTTGACTTTTAACAATATTAAAAAATGAAATGTACATTGACAGCTCCTTGTTATTATTATGAAGCAATTTCTTGTAGTTCTTTTATGTTCATTACACAAGAAAGCTAGTAGTAGGTTTCCTAGTAGATACCTAATTGACTCATAAATATCTATTTGCAATCTTTATGGATTTTTTAAATAATTTAATAAAATAAATAATAATTTTATTCTTTAACTATTTTCGATTTATCATTCATTTTCCTAGGTTTTTAGATGTAAGCTTGAGCTTGTGGGAGCTTCCTCTGGTAGCTTGGAAGAAGCTTCAATATATTACGTGATAAGCATATGCTCACTATCATTATCGACAACATTAAGGAGTCATAGAGAGAGGTAATATATTTTTAAATCAAATTAATTAATTACTTTAAATAATTATATAATAGTTTTAATAATCGACTAATGTTTAACTTATCTCTATTTTGAATTTATTGTATGTATTCATTCAAAAATTCAACTCCACTTGCCTATGAAAACATGGAAGATATTCGCAAAATATTGACATCTTCTTTTCTTGAGTCAATTTGATGGTTAATTTATGTTTTTGTATATTATTTTAGTTCTTTTTTATAAATATACTAGTTTACTTTAGATTTATTGTTATTTGATAACATTGGTACATTGTTATAGTAATTGTTCATTATTATTAATTAATGACAATTATTATTAATTTTAGATTTATTGTTATTTGATAACATTGGTACATTGTTATAGTAATTGTTCATTATTATTAATTAATGACAATTATTATTAATTTTAGATTTATTGTTAACTATCTTAGTTTGCTATGTAGTTTAGTTTATACATTGTTTTAATTTAAATCATAGATATTATATTTCATATAGGTTTGTATTGAATTGAATATCAATATACTATTTTGATATGTCTGTAATATATTTTTATTATGGAGGTTTGGACAAATTCAAAAAATGAATAGGATATTAAAAAAAAGTATATATTTTATGATAGATTTAACCATACTCGTTATAGAATGTGTATCTTCTATGATGGGTGTGACTTTACTTGTCATAGAATATGTAATTCTATGATAGTTATGGTCAAATCCATCATAAAATGTACACTTTGTATGACAAATGTGTTATCATAGAATGTTGGTGTCAAGATGATTAAATTATCACATTTCATATCTCTACTATAATCGACATTAGCCATCCAACATAAAAATGTCACCTATTTACCCATTATAGAATATGCAAATATTCTATATCATCAAAATCTATATCCTTTCTCAAGTTGACATAAAACACCTCAATTACATTAGTATATTATTCTACCCCTTCACTACTAGAACAAACCTGGATGTTATATACTCTAAGGTAATTACATATTCGAACTTTGATGTTGATGTTCATATACTATTTTTGGATTAATTTCCTCAACAAACGTTTGAGGTATTGATTAAAATATTTAATAAATAAAAAAAATCTATTAAAAACTATGACTTCGAATGCCTTAATAAATTTGATTTGTACATTTTTCAATAAAAGTTTATTATTTTTTAATTTCTTACTAATGTCTTTAACAAATAAATTTTTTAGAAAAATTATTTGTCAAACTTTCTTTTTTTTCTTTTTCTTTTTTTACTTGTTTGAATAAGTTTCATACTTCATAGAATAGTTTATCAAAATAAACTTTTTGTAATTTATTTTAGTAAGCTTCATCATTAACTCATAAATAAGTTCTCATTTAATTTTTTTTTGGTAAAATAAGTTCTCATTTAATAAGAACTTACCAAATAACTAATTAATTAAATTATTTGCTAAAATATGCTCAAAATTTTATTAAATAGTTGTATTTAATTATTTACTCAAATTCATTACCACAAAAGATTCATTTTGTAAAGTGAAGTGCTAACTAACATGTTATATAAAATTGCATGCCAAACTCTTTATTAAGGGAGTCACGACTCGGTATAAATTATACTGTATTCATAAAAATAAAAATAAAAATAAAAATAAAAAAAAACGTAAAAAGTATATTGGCTATATTTCTAAACGAACATGCGATATATCTGTTCATTTTTTGAGGGGTTAATTGTTTTTTCGTTACATAGTAGAGGCAGCAAGTGTTCGTCTTTGTGACATTCGTAAATGCCACATGCTAATAATTATTTTTGTAAAGAGTTTTCTGTGTGTCATATTACACATTGATTGTATCTTTTATATGCATAATTTTAACATTCAACAAAAAAGTATTATAATCTTAATTT